CATAGAGTCTCCGTGGCAGAACGACCCGGGAGAGCCCCCGCGGCAGAGCCGGCGGGCGCCTCTGTTCCAGCCGGAGATCTGACCAAAGGAAGACCCAATCTCCCAGGAGAGCAGGCTCCAAATCATCCGAGTTTTACCACAACGCCTCATCAAAACTAAAGCTTGTTCTTGCAGGGAAGTTAATTAGAAAACAGCGCAGGACATAAAGCCCAAACATAAATGGGAACAAGGAGATGCAAGGGGAGACTTGACAGGACAAGGCAGCCTGTGATTTACACACCACTTCTGCCACGGCCGCGTAGACAGAGAGCAGAGCTCAGCCTCCAGAAGGGCAAGTGGGTGGGTTTTCTCTATACCAGGCTGGCTTGAAAGTAGTGACCTATTCTGAAATTTAACTTCCAGTCCTGATGACAGAGAAACTAGAAACAGTTCTAGGGTTTTAATCAACGCAACCAAGGCGGTAACAGTGTAGTGTTTCCCTGTTGTCTTCCTCACTGACTGTAGGCTCTGGCTAGAGCAGTTTGAGCGAGTGCTGGACCTGGTGTAGGTTACTAGTTTGCTCCAAGTGGGATTTAAAATCAAGACCCACAGCTAGCTGCTGTTGAATCACCTCGCCAGCCTCAGGTCCGGGGAAAGCTCCAGGATCTGGGTGGGGTCTGACCCTGACCCGCCTGCGCCCGTGCTGCGCTGTCCGGGGGCAGGGGCTTATGAAACAAATGTATTGTGACTCTGCATTGCCACTGTTCTGCACTGCGATTAATTCCTTCTTAACATGTGTCTTTATTTAAGGTCATGCACATTTAACAGATTTTAATATTGCAACAATAATTAGGGATGGTGAAAGAGCAACTGCATTAGCTGGAACAAAGCCATACATGGGTAAGAAGGAATCACTGTTCCTTACGTCTGTATTTTACATTCCAAGAGCACTGACCGCATGCTGCCCGTCTGTGACGAGGGCACGGGCTTCGTTTAGCACATTAATGCATGCGCCCCCCTCACCCAGCGCAGCCTGGTGCTTCGAAAAGTGGAACTCCCAGCGTGAGCGAGTCGCTGTCAGCACCCCCTGCCCTGCCCTGCCCTCCTGCCCCGCTGGCCCCCCGCTGGCCTTGCTGCGTCCTGGGGGGGCCCCACCGTGGCCTCCCGCCTGCCCGGCGCGAGAAGGGGCTGCCTGAGCCGGTGCCACGGGCCTGTGTCCCGCAGGGACAGAGTGCTGCTGCTTTCCAGGGGCACGGTGGGGCTTGTTGTTAAAAAATGCCCATTTTAATCTCTTCTTGCTAAAACAAACGGGATTATTTTGACCTTTCGGAGCCCAGCTACGGATGTGATAGGTTAAAACCAATCTGGTGGAGGTTGTGAGCAGGATGGAGTCGGGGCTGGGGGAGAAGCCCCGCCGTGGCCCGAAGCCGCTCTCCATTCGGAGGCAGCCAGCACCAAGCTCACTCCCACAGCTCCCAGACCCCGATCCCTGCTGGAAAGCTTTCCCTGGAGCCGTCACATCCTCGAGGGAGCTCTCGTGTAGCCACACAGTCACAGACACCCGGGGGGTGGGGGGTGCCCAAAAGGGGAGCACACGGGCACTGCGCTTGGAGCCGGGACACTTGTATCTGTAGATCCCGAGTCTCAGCCCAGGACCAGGGTTATTTGGTAGCGGGGTGGAGGTGCTGAGCAGCCTGGGCCTCAGCCTGGTAAAGCAGGAAAGGAGAATATGGCACATTTTACTAAATGTCTTTTTTTCCTTCCCCTTCTGTGGTGCTCTAGGTGTGTATTGTGCAGAAGAGAGACACTGAGAAGATGTATGCCATGAAGTACATGAACAAACAGCAGTGCATCGAGAGGGATGAGGTTCGCAACGTGTTCAGAGAGCTGGAAATCCTTCAGGAGATCGAGCACGTGTTCCTGGTGAATCTCTGGTGAGCAGCTCCTCTCCCTCAGCCCTCTGGGGCCACCTGCCCTCAGGGGCTTGTGGAGCCTCGTCCTCCCCCTCCCGGGCTCACCCACATCCGTGGGAGCCTCCCAGTGAGCTGCCCCAGTGCAAGGTGATGTCAGGTGTGTTTGGGAAACCTCACACAGAGGATCTGTACGTGCCATGGCATCTAACACTATAAACCAGCCTGGCTCCTCTTTTTCCATCAGAAACCTTTGTGTGTTTGCTGGGTGTTCTTCACAGCCTTCTGGCAAAGACCAGGAATCCAAAATCTGGCAAAGACCAGAAATCTCTCTCCTTCAGAGATCACGAGGGTTATGCTACAATCAGAATGTGGTTTTAGGGCTGGAGCCGGCGCCTGGTGAACAGCGCTGGATTCCACAGAGGCAGGAGAGGGGCAGAAGCAGCAGGTTTTCGCGGGGCAGCTGCAGAGCTCGGGTGGCCTCGGGCAGACTGCTGTGTCCCCACCCTCTGCGGCCATGGCAGCTGCTCCGCAGGCTGGTGGGTGGGAAGGTTTTCAAAAATTCAGAAGGTTTAATACACAAAGTGATGGCAATTGGTGATAATTCACGTTTTTTTTGTTGATCCATTACTTCAGAACACCCAAACAAGTTAGTATTTATTTTTCAGCATTATAGCAATTGCAAATATTTTTTTCCAACAAGTAATCAAAAGTCTTAAGAAGACTTGCTTCCTTAGCAAATTTTTCCCTTTCAGCTTGTACTTTTCACTTGTACTTTCACTTTCAGCTTGTACTTTGAGAATAAACCAACATTTAAGATGAGAGAAATGTGTGATTCATAAGTATTATACAATCCCACATACTTTCCTTAGAAATACTGTCACCAAATATAACAATTGAACGTTGTTTTGTAGTGTATCCTCACTGCTGTCAGTCTCCTGTGGGATCCACTGCAGATTTAGAGAGGCGTTTTACTCTACAGTAAATATAAATCTCTTTTTCTGGTTTTTATGGTTAAATTAGTGGTTGTGTTTTCCAATTCATTTTCAGGATACGCAGAGATATTTTAAGTAGGTTTATCAGATTGTTCACAATTGAAAATGCAAAGTTTTTCTGAAGCGAGTGGCTAGCAAAGCCCCGAGCTCTGCCTGCAGCCCTGCCCGCTGGAGGGGTTCCAGGCAGCGCTCAGGAGGTGGCGGTGGCAGGGTGAGCAGGGGAAGCTCATCGGGATCCTATCCTCTGCAAGGGGAGTGTTGGTGTGGCAATGGGTTAAAAACCAAGACAGCACCTTGAGTCGCCCTTGCTTAATTAGCAAGATGTGAGCACCGAGGCCGGGGTGTGCTGCGGTGGGACTGCTCACAGGTTCCACGGGACGGTGTCATTAGGAGAGGCAAGAAGCCCGGCTTGGTGTGGTGGCTCCTGTGGGTCAGGCTGCCGGCTGATGCTCCGCCGGTCCCGCAGGTACTCCTTCCAGGACGAGGAGGACATGTTCATGGTGGTGGACCTGCTTCTCGGCGGCGACCTGCGCTATCACCTGCAGCAAAACGTCCAGTTCACGGAAGAGACGGTCAAACTCTACATCTGTGAGATGGCGCTGGCTCTCGACTACCTCCGAAGTCAGCACATCATCCACAGGTAACCGCGCAGCCTCGCCCTGACCCGCCTGCTTCGGGGTGGGTGACACTGTCTTTGCTTGTGCCACCGGTGCCCCTGCGTCGGGGAGCTGCTGGCACTGATCCGCGCTGGCAGCGCCGGTGCTGGGCGCCCCCCAGCTGCCCGTCCTGCCCCCGTCACTCGGAGGGAGCCCAACCTTTGCTGGGTGCTGACAGCACCTTCCAGGTGTTTCAAAGCGATCAAGGGCTTCACAGAAATAGGCCCACTGTTGTGTTATCTATTGTCCTCGGAAATGATGCCTGAAGAGGCCCGAGGCTCCCACTTCTCTGCCCAGTTGCCCAGGAAAGGCCTATTTCTAGTCCATCGTAAAGGGACTTGTCTCATGTCAGGGTATTTTTGTTTTACTTGTTCCTAATTTTTGATAGATAAAAAAGTTGCAGGTTTTTTGTTGTTGAGTTGCATCCCTGATCTGACTGAGATTTCATCTTGCTGGAACCTTGCTTCTTTTCCCAGAGACGTAAAACCAGACAACATCCTCCTCGATGAGCAAGGTAGGATCTCTCTGCCTTGCTTTGTCTGCCTCCTTCATTCAAGGGACAGATTCTTCAGAGTCTTGAATATTGTGTGTCTTTTTATCTGGGAAAAGTGTGGAAAAAGCGCCACTCCTTCTAGCTGATGGGTGCTTGGTAATGCGAGGGAAGCTCTGCCCAGGGCAGCCCCTCTCCTCGTTGCCCCACGCCCGCGAGCATCCAGGGCACAGTCACCCCTCCCGAACCGTGGCACCTGGCGTGGCGGGAGGGCACAGAGCACCAGGCCTGACGTGGTGGAGGTTTAGAGGGGCTTTGTGGGGGATCTGCACATACGTTTTTAGGATAGCTTTGGTGTCTTCCCGGGGGATAGACCTGGGCTGAGCCGGGTGGGGTGAGTTCAGGGACATTGTGAGGGTCCGTTGGCTGGTCATAGAGTCTCCGTGGCAGAACGACCCGGGAGAGCCCCCGCGGCAGAGCCGGCGGGCGCCTCTGTTCCAGCCGGAGATCTGACCAAAGGAAGACCCAATCTCCCAGGAGAGCAGGCTCCAAATCATCCGAGTTTTACCACAACGCCTCATCAAAACTAAAGCTTGTTCTTGCAGGGAAGTTAATTAGAAAACAGCGCAGGACATAAAGCCCAAACATAAATGGGAACAAGGAGATGCAAGGGGAGACTTGACAGGACAAGGCAGCCTGTGATTTACACACCACTTCTGCCACGGCCGCGTAGACAGAGAGCAGAGCTCAGCCTCCAGAAGGGCAAGTGGGTGGGTTTTCTCTATACCAGGCTGGCTTGAAAGTAGTGACCTATTCTGAAATTTAACTTCCAGTCCTGATGACAGAGAAACTAGAAACAGTTCTAGGGTTTTAATCAACGCAACCAAGGCGGTAACAGTGTAGTGTTTCCCTGTTGTCTTCCTCACTGACTGTAGGCTCTGGCTAGAGCAGTTTGAGCGAGTGCTGGACCTGGTGTAGGTTACTAGTTTGCTCCAAGTGGGATTTAAAATCAAGACCCACAGCTAGCTGCTGTTGAATCACCTCGCCAGCCTCAGGTCCGGGGAAAGCTCCAGGATCTGGGTGGGGTCTGACCCTGACCCGCCTGCGCCCGTGCTGCGCTGTCCGGGGGCAGGGGCTTATGAAACAAATGTATTGTGACTCTGCATTGCCACTGTTCTGCACTGCGATTAATTCCTTCTTAACATGTGTCTTTATTTAAGGTCATGCACATTTAACAGATTTTAATATTGCAACAATAATTAGGGATGGTGAAAGAGCAACTGCATTAGCTGGAACAAAGCCATACATGGGTAAGAAGGAATCACTGTTCCTTACGTCTGTATTTTACATTCCAAGAGCACTGACCGCATGCTGCCCGTCTGTGACGAGGGCACGGGCTTCGTTTAGCACATTAATGCATGCGCCCCCCTCGCCCAGCGCAGCCTGGTGCTTCGAAAAGTGGAACTCCCAGCGTGAGCGAGTCGCTGTCAGCACCCCCTGCCCTGCCCTGCCCTCCTGCCCCGCTGGCCCCCCGCTGGCCTTGCTGCGTCCTGGGGGGGTTTCTGCCGTCCCTCGGCTCTCCCCGCCTGCGTCCCATAACGCGGCGAGCGCGGCGGCTGCAGCTGCTCACCCCGGCTGGCAGAGCCTCCCCCAGGCAGGAGTGCGTGCAGATAACCCTGAGGTTTACAAACTGACTTACCTGGAATACTGAAAGAGAAACAGACTGAAGTCAACAAATAACCTGTTGCCTTTTTCCCCTTCTGTTCAGCCCCGGAGATTTTCCATTCCTTCCTGAATGGCGGGACGGGCTACTCCTTCGAGGTGGACTGGTGGTCGCTGGGGATCATGGCTTACGAGCTGCTGCGGGGCTGGGTAGGGCTCCCGGCCACTCCGAGGCCTGGGCACGTGCTTCTGACTGACTGCAGGGAGGAGAGGGAATTTCTTCTCATCTTTTTGCTTTTTCCCTCCAGAGACCGTATGACATCCACTCCAACAACCCCGTGGAGTCTTTAGTTCAGCTCTTCAGTACCGTGAGCGTTCAGTACTCGTCTGCGTGGTCAAAAGAAATGGTTGCTCTGTTGAGAAAGGTAAATCATCCTGCCGGCGTGGTTTGAGTTATACATTAGCCACGGCGCCTGCAGGACTAGCTGGAAAATTTTCAGCATATTAACAAATAATGTAAAGTTGAAATAGGACTAATTTCTATTACTTTGTTCAGGCTTAAGCACAGATTAATCTTGTGTTTTGTTTGTTCATTACCCTTGTAACAAGATGTGTCGTGTTTGACGGCAAGGGAAGGAAGAAGCCTGGTTTTGGAGTGACAATCAAATTCCTGCCTGGGCTGGAACTGGCCCCTTCCAGCACCCCCCTCCCCGTACCCTCGGCAGGCGGCAGCTCCAGCCGGGGCGGCCGTGGGAGCTGGGTCCTTGTGCTGCCCCAGTGCCGTAGCTCGGCCGGGGGGGCCTGGCTCAGCCTGTTGGGGCGTGCGACTGCCTGGGGGGGGTCCCACGTTGGCATGGGGGGCTGCTGCTTGCCTTTCACTGCTGCTCGTGGAGCTGGGAGTGGAGGCTGCCTGAGGCTTCTGCTCGCTTCAGAACTCAGAAGAGTCGCCGAGGAGTGTGCTACAAAAAAGATAAACACGGTGCTGACAGCAAATAAGTGACTCTGAGGCAAGTGAATGTCGGGGGGACAATTTATAGAATTAGGTTTGGTTCTGAGGAGAAGCAGGTTGTTGGCTGTGCTACAGCGGGGCGTTCAGCAGGCTCGCATTGCCATCTGCTGGGCTGAGGGCAGGCGGGCTCCGGGGACCCGCCGGGCACCAGCCGCCACAGTGGGACAATGCCAGCGGCCACCGCAGCCCGGCAGGACCCGCCGTGGTCCCCCAGAGCCCCGGGGCTTCTGTGCTTGGGGTGCCCCAGCCCTGGCCCTGAGCAGGGGCGATGCCGGGGCTCCGCCGGCACCCAGAGGTGATGTCAGGTGCCCCGTTGCCCACCTGCCCACTGGGGCCAGCCCCCGCTCCGTGCTCCCAGGGCCCACAGTGGCCTTACATGGGAAGTGGGAATTGCCCCTTTTTGTTTTAAAGGTGAAGATAATTTTATGCCATGGATAAATGCCTGAAAGGTTCCCCCATTAGATGTACCCCCCATTGGCCATACCTCCACGTCAGATGTCTCTCCGCGTTAGATGTACCTCTAGCAGTGCTGGAAGCTGTAACTCCAGTCACCCCAGCGTGCAGTGGGGTACGTGGTGCTGAATTCTTTGAAAAATGGGCTCTGTCCTCAGACTGGAGTCTTAGTGAATCAAGCGATCATTTTTTTTCCCCTGTGCTTAGTAGTCCGTGCGTGTGATAAGCAGATAGTACCCCTCGGTGTCACAGAAGGTGAAAGCAGGACCTGTGGAGGTTGCAGCCGAAGCGATGACCCTCTGGGAGGATCAAGGTCTTTACGAGGGAGCCGGCTCTGTCCCTGCCTCGGGGAGGAGCACGCTGGGGCGGCAGCACCCGGCGGCTGCGGCCAGGGCTTGTGCCTCGTTGCAGGTGTGGGAGGAGCAAACCCACACCTGCCCAAGGGCTCACGGTACCGGGTTTTTGCCCGTCTGGCTTCACAACCTCCAGAACGCTTTTCTAATATTTTTTTTTCCCTACAGCAAGTTAGGTGTTTCCCGTGATGGAAAGGCTGCTGCGTGGCTGAAGCGTGCGGGTCACCCCAGAGGCAGGTGCTGCTGGCCCCTCTCCCCTCCCCTCTGACGGGAATGCTTTCCTCTCCCCAGCTGCTGACGGTGAACCCCGAGCATCGCTTTTCCTGCCTGGCCGACGTTCAGGCCTCGGCGTACCTGTCCGGCGTGGTCTGGAGCGATGTCTGCGAGAAGCGGGTGGAGCCAGGCTTCGTCCCCAACGTGAGTAGGAGCGAGGAAACTGCTGCGGACGCAGAGGCCCTCTGACAGAGGGGGAGTTTCTGAGTGCATTTGCTGCACCAGAGTCTCAGCTGTGCCTAACGCCCGCGGTGTCGTGTCGTGTGTCCCGGCAGAAGGGCCGCCTGCACTGCGACCCCACCTTCGAGCTGGAGGAGATGATCCTGGAGTCAAGGCCCTTGCACAAGAAGAAGAAGAGGCTTGCAAAGAACAAGTCGAGGGATAACAGCAAAGACAGCTCTCAGTCTGTAAGTGCTTTCTGGGGTGATGGCCGGACGGGGGAGAAGGCTGAGCTGCTGCGTTTGGGGTGTATAGCAGTAGTTACTGCAACAGTACGGTAACGGCAGGTTACGCAGAGAATGGTCTGTGAGGTTCATGGTTGGACCAGATGATCTTCAAGTTCTTTTCCAACCGAGATGATTCTGTGATTTATTCTGATGAAAACGTTTGCCCAGTGGAGTCTTCCTAACAACCAAACATTCATTTTATGTAAGTTTGATAAAACTCTTCCGCAGTAATCTGTACTTTGGAAAATGAAATGAGAAACAGAGGTCTGGGCACACTGGTCAAGAGGAAAACTTAAGAAACATGTCTGTGTGATGTTTCTGAGAGGTGGTGCTCCGTGTCTGTGACAGCTCTCGGGGCGGGGGGGGTGTCGCACGGTGGGGGTTTGTCTGATCAATTAGCGGGAGCTAATGTGCAATCAGTGAGACTTACCCTAAAAGGATGAGGAATAAATTGGGATTCGAGGGAGGGAGAACCCAGAATAAGCAAATTTGCAAATACCTCGCCGAGGTTTTGCTGCTGGGAGTTAAGGGCACTTTACCTGGGGTGGGACGAGGGCTGGCAAGGCCCTGCCTGGGCAGGGGACAGGCGTCCCTGCTTCGCTGGGAGGTGCAGCAGCATCTGGCTTCAGAGGAGAGCTCTGCGCCTGGACAGGTGATGCAGGAGGTAAAATAAAGGCAGAAATCGGGAAGCACGGGCTGTCCACACGCTGGCGTTTCCCGCCTGCCCCGCGGGTGCTGCCGGCTCCCCCGGCGTGTGAGCAGGCAGCGTCCCTGCCCGTGGCACGGGGCAGCAGCTCTGTGCCTTGCCCTTGAGGGGCTCACACACACAGGCTTCGTGCTGCGCTCTGCCCCGCGCTGCCTTTCCCAAAAGTGGGATACACAGATAAACGCGCGGTGTTTGTCTGGAGAAGGTCCTGCTCTCTGTGCTCTTTGGAAGAGTGTGCTCGCTGCAGGTGAACCAGGTGAAAGCCCCTGGTGAGAGCCACGAGGGTGACCAGCTGTGCCGCTGCCACCGTCCGTCCCGGCAGCTGGGCGCCCTGTGCACCACCAAACCGCAGCCGTGCCGTCGGGGCTGCTCACGCACGTGCTGTTTCTCTTCAACAGGAAAATGACTATCTCCAAGAATGCCTTGAAGCTATCCAGCAAGACTTTGTCATCTTTAACAGAGAGAAGTGAGTGTGGGGTATATTTTTTGAGGAAAAAATACTCTTTTTCCCAGCTTCCCTTAGGAATCAGAGTGTCAGTGCATGATGGCTGGGAGTGTCTCGCTGCTGGCTTAGCCGAGGAGCTCAGGTGCTGCCTTTGTATGGAAAACGGTTCTGACCAAAAAGGGAGACGAGATCAGGGCTTACTGATCCCTGCCATTAATAACCCATGCTGCAGAGAGGCTTCTGGGTTTTACCATGTGTATGTGACACTGCTTCACTTCCCCCATTGCATCTTCCCACCCGTCCTGCTGTTAGGGGATGAGGCTTTGGAAAACGAAGGCAAGGGAGGCGCTTCCTCTGCGGGGCGTTTGCTCCAGGGTGGCCGTAACTCCTGGTTCCTCTGCTCCGCGCAGGCTAAAGAAGAGCCAAGAGCAGACGAGTGAGTCCGTGTCGCCCCCCGAGACCACCGACGAAGCCGAGACGGAGGCCGAGTCCGAGACCTCCAACTTGAACATGTGCAGCTCCGTCTGCTCCTCCGCGGGCAGCAGCTAGGCTGGAGCCGCCGGGCGAGGGTCGCCGCTAACCCGTCC